AAGTGATACACTACTAAAGTAGTTCAACCATAAAACACATGCAAACATCGACCTTCACTCGGCCACCCACATCAACACTACACCGACCATTATTCGACCGCATTCACACACACCAACACCACAATAACCCTCACTCGGCCACATACACACACACTAACACCCTAACAGCCCTCGCTCGGCCACCCACACACTAACACCCAACGACCTCACTCAGCCATCCACACACACTCTAACCCCCAATGACCCTCACTTAGCCACCCACCTCAACCACACCAGCCACACACGCACATCCTCACCACACCAGCCCTCACCCAACAGCCACCAAGTGACCATACGCACGCATACAGTTCTGCCACTATTGGTAACCCACCGGCTACCCCTAGCCCACACACACACCATTCCACCATTATTGGCTAATCACCGATCGTATCAAAGCCACACACGCACTACATTGTCTTGGTTCGCCTCTCAATGGCTATTCCAAGGCCACACACACACTATTCCGCCACACCGGTACTCACCGGCCCTCCTCAAGGCCACACACACTATTCCGCCACCATTGGCACCCACCGACCATCATATGGCCACATACTCATCCCACTACGCCATCACTGGCAACCGACCATTGAATGGCCACTCATACAACACACACAGCCCTTATCGACACATTAGAACACACACTCCTTCAAAATCCAGTGATGCTCCCAGATTGTTTTACCTATTTTCACCCTTATCTCTCTATCTCCACACAATTCCTTCCTATCATCCCTAACCTCGACTCAGACGTTCTTACTACCTGAACTTTCTGCAACATTATTTATTTCCTTTCTCCTTTCTCTTCTCATAAACCAGAAAGTAAAAATTCAAGGTGAATCGCAATATTGAAATTCAAAACTTTTTTACCCTTTTCTAGTATTCGATACTCACTTACCAAAAAATCCGGCAAGAATTTCATAATTGATTTACCATTACAAAGTTCACCATTCAAAATCCACTTACCTTTCCTTTCCGAGTGGGGTGTCGGATCGCCTTCATCTGTGGTTGCACTCTGATAAAGTCTCTCGCGCTACCTCCTCCTTCTTAGCCTTGCGAGAGTTGCTTTCTCCTTTCTTTCTTAGTCGAGCTTTCTCCCTTTTTTCTTTATATTAACCTCACCCTCAAACCCTTCTGATGTTGCAGATGAGAAGAAGAAAAAGAAAGCTATTCATGCAGGTTAGGGGTTCAGGCTCAGGTGGGTTTTTTTTTCCCTTATTTTATTGGGCCGAATGAGACCTTGTGTAACACCCTAAAATAGGATTTTAATGTAATTTAAAATTAATAAATATAATTTTTTAATTTTTACTAATTTAATGAAATTGAAAATAATTTAAAAAAAAAAGAGTCAAAATTTGGATTCTGATGGTATTTTTAAAAGAAAAATTAGAAACCGGAGGTCAAATTATAATTTAGAAAAGTTCTACCACGTGGGACGCCGAATCAGCAGCTTCGACAAATCAGGACGCGTCGCATGGCGGCGAACACTAACGCAGTACCACGCACGGGGGCCATGCGAGTGATTCACGTGCCCACGATCGAACTGCTCAGATCCGTTCCCGCGTGCACAAACGGTTCAGATGCGCTCTCACCCCAAACACAATCGGATGGTTAGATTTGAACGCGGTCGGACGGTTCAGGTTAGATCACGATGGACGGTACATATTGGATCGCGATGAACGGTCCAGATCTACTCCCTATTTAATCGCGATCGGATGGTTCAGATCAAACGCGATGGACGACCCAGATAAAAAATGGACGGATATAAATAACCCTCATCCACACCAAACCCTAACCCTAGCCGCCAGACCTTCCTCGCTGGAGAAGAAGACCCAACCGCCGGGAAGGAGACTGTCATCACCCGTCGCCGCACTGGAGCCCTTTCCGACCACCAAAAAAGGTAAAAAAAAAAAAATTGCTCAGAATTCAATTCTAAACACACCCATGGCCAAATTAGAGTAAAAGAACCAGCTAATTGGCCAGAAAACGCAAGCGAAGCTTGGCGATGCCACTGCGGAGAATTTCACAAAACCCCTCCGATGAGACCCTTTCTGATTCCCGTTCTGTGTAATTTTTCTACCGTTGTGATCACCGTATCGTTCTCTACAGGTTGACCAGAGCAAAACACACAATCACAACATGAGCCGGAGGAGCCGCCACACCAGAGAGCCCCGCCGCTTGTGAGTTTCAGTTTTTTTATATTTTTTCGGCCAACTGATGCTCTTTAACATATTTTCTCGCAGGGATCGATACAAAATCGGCCAAATTCCACCAAAAATGGCCAAACACAGTCGACCCAAGGCGGACCGCTGCCGCGGATAGCGGCGGCGTCGCCAGAGCACAGTGAAGCCACCGTGCCGGAATTCCAAAAGTGGCTAAGTGGGCCATTGGAATGATTTTGGGTTTGTTTGGGATATTTGTAAGTACTATTAGCGCGTTTTAATTTTCGAAAAAAAATTCAGGGAATCCAAAAATTGCCCGTAGGCGCGGTCGAACAGGTTAGCTTTTCGGACATCAAATCGAGTAAGGATCCCCCATCCTATTTCCTATCATAGAATTATAGTCTAAATAAATAATAATATGATATTTTGTGTGAATTTAAAAAATGTGCATAATTAATTACAGATTGCTAATGGAGCCAAAACCGAAAATTCTCTACTGTTGCTTTATTGATTGTTTTACAGTTTAAATGCATGATAATATCTTATTAATTAATTTTATGGCTTTGAATGCATGTTTGGTTTATTCTATGTGTTTAATGCTGAATCGGAAAAAAATGAAGGTTAAATGGTAAAAATTATGTGATGAAATGAATAGATGAAACG